GTATTTTTTATTCAAATTTATCGCAAGTTGTGTAATTAAATTGTCTTCTTTGGACGTACTAGTCCTCTTACGACCACGCTGTGGTATTTTCTCTTCAGTAACTGCATCTTCAGTCGATTCATTTTCCAAACTATCTGCAGTACCAGCTTTCTCCTCCGTCAATGGCAACAAGAATAACAACTGATGGGATTGTTACGGCCCTCAGTTGCCCCGACAAAAGTCGACTGGGCTAGGGCCCATCAGTAGCTCACTCGACGAGCAACCAGAGGGTTCGGGCCCAAATGGCCTATGGATAATTATTATTTAATGGCTGATAAGCAAACACAAACTTACCGAGTTCCGGAGGTAGTGTCGACCACAAGGTGCAGTCAGGTAGTAAGTAAGGTGTATGTAAGTAGTGTGCGAAAGTGTGTAATGCAACCTGACGTCACCGATGTAATCGGGCAGCAGACCCACATGCGCTGCTTGGCTCCACAATGTGCGATCCCTCCAGTGGGCGTTCACCAATTGAGACTTTCTGCATTTATTTCACTATATTAGTTTATCAACTTTATTGTACATTTAATTAACTTGAAATTTAACTCATCATCATCATCATTACAGCCCTTCACAAGTCCACTGCTGAACATAGGCCTCCCCCAAAGAATGCCACAAAACACGGTCCTGAGCCACCTGCATCCATCGACTTCCTGCATGTCTTACCAGGTCGTCACTCCATCTCGTGGGGGGACGCCCTACACTTCGCCTACCAGTACGAGGCTGCCACTCGAGAACCTTTCTTCCCCATCGGTTGTCGGTTCTTCGAGCTATATGGCCGGCCCACTGCCACTTCAGCTTACTAATCCGTTGGGCTATGTCGGTCACTCTGGTTCTACTGCGGATATCCTCATTCCTAAGTTTATCACGCAGAGAAACTCCGAGCATAGCCCTCTCCATAGCTCGCTGAGCGACCTTGAGCTTCCTCATATGGCCAGCAGTGAAGGACCACGTCTCAGTTCCGTAAGTCATCACTGGCAACACGCACTGGTTGTACAATTTCGTTTTAAGGTTTTGAGGTATGTTTGACGAGAAGATGTGTCGTAGCTTCCCGAACGCTGCCCAGCCGAGTTGAATCCGTCGATTGACCTCTCGGTCGAAGTTGGACTTACCCAGTCGGACTATTTGTCCCAGGTAAACATACTCGTCAACAACTTCGAGCTTAGTGTTCCCAACAACTATCGGCATAGGTGTGACATGGACATTAAACATGATCTTAGTTTTGTCCATGTTCATCTTAAGACCTATCCGTTGGGAAACACTATTGAGGTCATTGAGCATAGTGCTTAGGTCCTCCAGCGATTCTGCCATAAGGACTATATCGTCGGCAAATCGAAGGTGAGTGATGTACTCGCCATTGATGTTGATACCGTATCCTTTCCAGTCCAGAAGCTTGAAAACGTCTTCCAATGCAGCGGTAAAGAGTTTCGGGGATATGACGTCACCCTGTCTTACACCTCTCTGCAATTGGATAGGTTTCGTACTCTGGTTCTGTACTCGGATAGCCATCGTAGCCCTACTGTACAAGCACTTCAACACCTCGATATACCGACAGTCAACTTGGCACCGCTGAAGGGACTGCAGCACCGCCCAAATTTCGACGGAATCAAAGGCTTTCTCATAGTCCACATACGCCAGACATAGTGGCAAATTGTACTCTTCGGACTTCTGTACAACTTGCCGAAGGGTATGTATGTGGTCTATGGTGCTAAAGCCTTTTCGGAAACCGGCTTGTTCGGGAGGCTGGAAGTCGTCAAGTCTGCGCGCGAGACGATTCGTAATGACTCTCGAAAACAGCACGTAGACGCGGCTCAGAAGGGAAATCGGTCTGTAGTTCTTCAAGAGAGCGTTGTCACCTTTCTTGAAGAACAAGACCACCGCACTTCTGCTCCACGCCTCCGGTGTAATGCCACCATGGAGGACGGAATTAAAGAGCTTCTGAAGGACTTCAAGTACCGGTCTTCCACCCGCTTTCAGAAGCTCCGCTGTAATTCCATCCTCGCCTGGGGCCTTACCGTTTTTAAGGTGCTGGAGAGCCATCCTAATCTCGCTCAGACTGACATCCGGGATATCTTCGGAATAGTGTCGGATGAGACTCGCTCTTGGATCGTTACTCACACTTGCGTGTGGCTCCAACGATGATGTGTACAGCTGCCCATAGAACCTCTCAATCTCACTCAAAATCTCAGGTGTCCCGGAAACGATGCTGCCACATTCTGTCTTCAGCTTTGACAGTTGGCTCTTTCTGGCAGACAGATCTCTGGCAAAGACTTTGGAGCCTTGGTTCCGCTCGATCGCTTCTTCAATACGAGCTGTATTGAAGTTGCGTAAGTCCCGCCGCATGCATTTGGAGATCTGTCTGTTCAGATGCCTGTATGCTGTCAAGTCTGTTGAAGAATGTAGCTTCATCTCCCGTCTAACAGCCATGAAATTAAGAGTGTGATCGGAGAGTTTTTGTGTTCTTCTGCGGCGGGTCTTGCAGAACTTAGCTCCAACCGCATGGACAGTTTCCACGAGCTTGTCATTCATATCGTCCACTTCATTGCAGTCTTCTAGGCACTGAAAACGGTTTTGTAACTCGAGCTGAAAGGTTTCGGGACTTTGAAACAGAGCACGAGGGGGACGGAGCGTTGACTTCATTAGACGAGACCTCTCCAACTTAACGTTTAGGTTCAGTGTGCCTCTAACCATTCGGTGATCGCTACCAGTTTTCACCCTCGCGATCACGGAGACATCACTGAACAGTTGTCGTCTGGTCGTCATAATGAAGTCAATCTCATTTTTTGTGGAACCGTCGGGGCTCGACCAGGTCCACTTCCTGTGGGGCCGCTTCTGGAAGAAAGAGTTCATCATAAAGAGTCCCTCTTTCTCCATGAAGTCGGCCAGCTGCTGGCCCCTTGGGTTCCGTTGCCCTATTCCAAATTTCCCTACTTTCAGCTCACCGTTCTCTCTTGTGCCTAGTTTTGCATTGAAGTCTCCCATTAACACCGTATATTGGGTTTTGGAGGAATGCATGGCTCTAGAGATATCCTCATACATTTCCTCCACCTCCTCATCGGGGTGTGCCGAGGTTGGTGCGTAAACCTGTATGACCTTCAGCGAATACCGTTTGGTGATTCTGAGTATAAGGTACGCAACCCTCGTCGACACACTCCCGATTTTTACAACGTTGTTAACGAGAGACTTGTGGACGATAAATCCGACACCTCCTTGGGACAGATGGTCGCCCTCCCGGTGATAGAGCAAGTTGCCGGATTCGAGGATTACCGTGTCCTCCCCCTCTCTTCGGACTTCAGATAATCCTATAATATGCCAGCGCAACTTGTCTATCTCTTCTTCCAGCTCCACGATCTTCTCGTCAGTCCTCAGGGTGCGTGCGTTGTACGTTGCCAGGTCGAGTCGTCTAAGGTGGCAACCGAACCTCCACCGGAGATTCTTAGCACCCCCTGCCCCGCCGTTACCATGGTCGCCACCGTAGCCAGGAATAGCGGGGCCGCCGGGGACTGGGGGCCGTCTCTTTGTTACTCTCTTCATAGGGGGGTATTTGCCATAGTTGCCACGCTTGGCGAGCGGGTTGGCAACCGCAGTTTTTTTTCTTGTCATTTGGCTATTATCAGGAAGATGCTGCTGCCCATCTCCTGGCTGTTTCCCTTTGTCGCCTTTTACGACACCCACGGGAGGATATGGGGTAGTGGATATTCTTGACCGCCACTACACGGGAGAAATTTAACTAAATCAACGTAAATCGAACTTAAAACAAGTGACACACCGCACAACTTAAGAACTGTCGGTCAAAGTTCAATGTCCCATGTTCACTTAGCACAAAATTATAATCGAGCACGAACAGGATCTCCTCTCGAGTCACAAGGCTTTAGCGTTCCACCCGACAAAGCAAAAATTCCTTCGCACGATATTAAAATGCCACACAACCAACTCGTCGACGCAAATTAATGGCAACCGTAGTTAAGTTAATCACTCAAAACTCAAGACAAGCCTCGTTATCACGTAAAACGCACAAAATAAGACAACCTATCAGAGGCGGTCTTAACGCGACCTAACGTTCCGAGCGTATGTTCCAGGCCGTCTAACCGACACGGCGGCCGCGAACAATTAATTCGCCCACACGTCGAGCGACCGAGCGGTGAGTGGAGAGACGCGCGGGGAAAAGGGTGCCAGGCAGTGACTGGTACATTCGAATGAACGCGCCGAGCGCGCGTCTTGAATGCAAGTTTCAAATGTTAATATTTGGCCTAAACAGATAGTAAACATACTGTCGTAGTTTACTAGCTCCCGAGCCACTCTTAATTTTTTTGTTTTATTGAAATAACGTCTCAAGCCATTTCTCAACACTTTCCACTTTTTTTGAAGAGCTTTTCCTGGAAATAAAAAAAATACAAATACTTGGCAACAGGGTGCACTTTCGCTGAATTAGAATACAACTATAGAATTTCGGCATGTACAATAGGGGAAATAGTGAAATATGTGTGCGAAAATATTTTGAAGTATATGAAAGATATTTGTTTTGTAGCACTAACCCAAGATAACTGGAAAAATATAAAAAGTGGTTTCCAAAGACGCACCAACTCTCCAAACTGCTTGGGGACGATCGATGGTAAACATGTAAGAATTATAAAACCAACTGATAGCGGTTCCTTGTACTATAATTGTAAACACTATTTTTCTTTAGTGTTGATGGCAGTCTGTGACAGGAACTATAAATTCACTTTCATAAATGTTGGATCATATGGAAGACACGCTGACTCGACAGTATTTGAAGACACTGAATTCTACAAAAAACTACAAAGAAACACGTTGAACATTCCTGCTCCTACAAAAATAATAACAGCAGGCCCAGTTTTGCCTAACGTATTTGTCGCCGATGAAGCTTTCGGTTTACAAGAAAATATTATGAGACCTTTTGGAGGAAAACTATTGCCAATAAAAAAATAATTTTTAACTATAGACTGTCTCGGGCCCGAAGATACTTCGAATGCACTTTCGGCATACTTTCAAACAAATGGCGCATATTCCATCGGCCATTAAACGTGTCTGTTGAATTATCTAAAACGATAGTCAAAGCATGCTGCATTCTTCACAACTTCGTGCGTGAAAGAGACGGCTACAACTTCAAAGATTGTTTGAGAATAACGGGTTTTGAAGACCAAGCATTGCAACAAAACGTCCAGCAAGGAGGACCAGCGCTGAACTCTATCCGTGATAAATTCGCTGACTACTTCGTAAGTGAAGAAGGACAATTAGATTGGCAATGGAAATTAGTGTAGCATATAACTATAACAAGCATACGAGTATTATAGAAAGAATCCGCGGATAATACTAGGAATAATATTTGAGCTAAACACCGAAAATTTAATAAAAATTGTGTGTACATACCTACTTACCAATATTATTTTTTTCTTTTACACTTTTTTCGTTGAATTTAGGATCAAATTTCTCGCATAAGGCTCTTCATGCACCATCTTTCTTTATTTTGTCACTGTTCAATTCACTGCCGTAGTTGCAGATACATTAGTTTTCTTTAATTTCATTAATAAACAATTCGTCGTCAATATTTTCGAGAACTTTCGCCATTTTGGATGACAAACGAACAATCGACCAACATAAACAAAGGAAGCGAGTCGAGTGCGTGAGGTTTGTAGGGGGAGTGAAGCGGGAGTGAAGCGGGAGCGGACTGAACCGGCTGCCTGCCGAGAGGAAGGGAAGCGGGGAGGGAGTGGCGCGCGGTCTGCAGCAACCGCTTGTAGCGGTCCATGTATGGTGATTCCGGCAGGTCTAAGCAGTCTACCGCACGGTGAAACTCGCCCGCAGAGCGACTGCTCCGGCCGCTCAGGAACTGCTCGAGCGCTCCGTGTATTGCGGAAACTGCAGATCGCCGTGCGGCGACCGCATCTTGCAGTCGGTCTCGACTGCAACATGCGGTCCGTCTATGGCTGTTCTAAGAGAATCGATTCAAATTTCATCTTAAACAAAAGGGTGACTTTCAATAAGTATTATTTGCAATCTATATCCAATAAAAATGTTTGAAACAGAAACAGAAACAGAAACTTTTTTATTCAATATTGATTATAAATAATACTTATTGAAAGTCACTCTTTTGTATGATTACCTTTTCTGTTTCTGTTTCATCTTGAGAGCGTCGTAAGAGGTATCGGATGCAAAAATCTTATGAATCATGATAGAAGGCGGTATAACCAGCTAGTTTACGCCAGGTGAAAACACAGACCGACCGATAAGCGTTCTCATAGGTTTAACCGTGGCAGAGCAAGCTGCAGCTATATTAGTAACATAGTTGTAGCACCGAGGAAGGGCCACGCTCTCACAGAATACCAGCGTAATGTGCGCAGCGTATGGTGAGTGTAGAGAACCGGAGACACTTTTACTGGAAAAGAGGCATTCCACCTTAGTCCTCACGGGTGACAACGCATCTGCGTTTTGATTCTTTATTGAGGATAGATGTAAATGTTTCTGGGCCTCAACATCAACTTACCATTAAGTGGACTGTGTGCTCGTTTGGCACCCTATCCTATATAAAAAAGATGCGAAACGGTGGATTGATGACGCGTGAGGGTTAACAATTTAACGCAAATCCTTTTTACAACGAGAGAGCGTGTCCAGAAGTGGACTTGTAAGGGCTGATGACTATGATGAAAATGATGAAATTTAATATTTAAGCCAATTTTTTATCATCTATGTGAAACAATCTTTGAGAAAAATATCCGCGAAAGACAGGCAGACAGATAGCGTGATTCCATAAGTGTTCAGTTTTGTTGAATTTGGCAAGGAACACTAAGACTGACACGACCTGAATATATTGAAAACTACGTCATACTTTTACAAAGGTTATGATTTCTTATTTTACGCAAAAACTACACATTGAATAAAACTACTTTTACGAATTTTATCGTGTTTGATTAGACTTATTTTAATTTCCGACGTTTTTTACTTCAAAGCTTATTCTGTGTAGATCGGAAAAAAAATTATATTTGACCATGGGCGCAAAGCACTCGAAACTAAAAATATCTTAAAAATAGTTTATAAAGATTCATGCTAAAATGGTATTCATTTATCAATAAAGACAATGTGAAGTTTTGTGGCAACAATGCGCAGTCGTTTCGAACGATTTTAGGATAATATATCCCGCGATTCGCCGCTGAATGGAAATTAATGATAGCCCAAAGTTTTGAGCACCTGACTAGGACGCCATTTTATATTTTTTTGTGAGTAGGTGGTTTAGTAAAATGACCAGTGTTTATTTCGTGTGTAAGTCGTACCAAAAGTTAACAAATACAACAATTACGTAATGATATATGATAGTGTAGCGACAAATTATATTGTATTGAACTGTATGTTCTTACTTTAAGCGAACACTGCAGTTAGAATAATTGTAGTTATTTATAAAATATAAAGTTAAAATACATAGTTATTTATTAAATAGATAGTTTTTATCTTGATATGTGCTCCTCAATAGTTTTTATTGCGAATTTAAAGATTTTTTAAAAGACAAAGGACCGACGGATAAGCAGAACAAAGTCTGTACGGCCAGCTAGTAGATTATAAATAATATTAATTATTGAGTAACCGACATAGCCCAACGGATTAGTAAGCTGAAGTGGCAGTGGGCCAGCCATATAGCTCGAAGAACCGACAACCGATGGCGAAGAAAGATTCTTGAGTGGCATCCTCGTACCGGTAGGTGAAGTGTAGGGCGACCCCCCACGAGATGGAGTGACGACCTGGTAAGACATGCAGAAAGTCGATGGATGCAGGTGGCTCAGGACCGTGCTTTGTGGCATTCCTTGGGCGAGGCCTATGTTCAGCAGTTGACTTATGAAAGGGTGTAATGATGATGATGATGATTTATTGAGTGTCACTCTTATGCTTAATTTACAACCGGTTCAAAAATACGTCTCAAAAAAGCCTATAATTGCGTTTTCACCTGTAGGGACTAAGATGGAATGCGTCATAACCTGTAATTATACTGGCTCCCTATATCCTTTAGAACGGAATACAAAGCACTCACTGCTGTTTGGCAGAAATACGTAAGAGGGTACAAAGAGGGACACTCTAAAACCGCCTTAAAGTGGTTGATTACAACAAACTTTTTATTAAGATTTTAATTTCATAGGTTAGATATATTACCGGTATTCTTGTAGCACGAATGGGTCGGCTCGACCGGGGAGGGACCACGCTTTCACAGATTACCAGCCTAAATAGTAGTTCAACGCTGCTATGTTTTGTATGGTGAGTGTAGAGAACCGGAGACACTTTTTACTGGAAACGAGGCATTCAATCTTAGTCCTCACGGGTGACAACGCATCTGTATTTTGATTCGTAATCGAGGATAGATATAGATGTTTATGGGTCACAGCAACCACTTACCATCAGATGGACTGTGTGCTCGTTTGTCACCTTGATCCTATAAAAAAATTGTGTTGTGATATTTTTAACTTTCTCGTCTAATAATATTTAAACAGAATTGGATTGGATTTGATATATTCTAAACGGATAAAAACATTTATATTGTTTGAAATATTACCTCTACACTAAGATACGAAATATGTGAACTTTATTTAGAATTTCATAAAAAGAAAGTGTATTAGGTATATATTTTATTTAAAATGTATTCTCGATGTATTTATTTAAATGTTATTGTTGTTGGTGACAAAAACTAGGTGTAAAAAGAGCCCTAAAATGTTTCATCAAAATAAAAACAAAACGAATTTGTTTCCAATAAAAAAAAAATTGTTTTTTTTATATGCGTAGTAGAATCATCCTACAGCTGAATTATGGCTGCAGCAGAATGGGGTCGGCTTTTCTCATAGCACCGTAAAATAACAACATAATGCTGTTTGAACCGGTGCCTCTTTTTAATAATTACTAGGCACTTCATCTTAGTTCTCAGGGATGACAACTTATCTCATTGTGATTCTTAATAATCATAGATATACGTGTCTTTCAGCCACAGCATCCAATTACCATCATGCGGGCTGTGTGCTCGTTTATCACCGTTATTTCATTATAATAAATGTGAGAGAATCGTATGAAACACCTGTGGTTCTACAAGTAGCATTCACAATATCTCTCTTCTATTATTAAAAAGATATGAAAGTTTTGAAGAATAAGTTACATCATTGCGGCAATACCCTCATTGTAATTATTAATATTAATAATTTTACTGCTCACCAGATGTCGCTAGTGGACACTGAGGTAAAGTTTTTTGGTTACACAATGTCATTTAATTGAGAAGTCAGTTTTTAATAAAAGTTTATCAGTTTCTAGAGTATTTTATTAATACACAAACAATGCATCAGTGGTTTGCTCTTTAATTTTTTGCACATTTTGAACTTTTTTTTTAAATTTTCTATTTTTAAGAATGTCAGAGGTTTGGTTTATTTATTTTTAATTTTATTAATATAAAATATAGTTAATAGTACAGAAAGAAGCATTATCCTTTACATTTTTCGAACAAATTAACTTCCCCGCTATGAAATCTGTCAAATGTTATTAATTTTATTAATATAAAATATAGCTAATAGTACAGAAAGAAGCATTATCCTTTACATTTTTCGAACAAATTAACTTCCCCGCTATGAAATCTGTCAAATGTTATTAATTTTATTAATATAAAATATAGCTAATAGTACAGAAAGAAGCATTATCCTTTACATTTTTCGAACAAATTAACTTCCCCGCTATGAAATCTGTCAAATGTTATACCTCACCTTTAAGTAACGCCGCCCTGGTGACAGAAAAAGGTCGTGGATGTCCTCACTGCATTGCCTTGTTGCTTTTAATCGAGTCTCTGGTTGGTCGTCTAGCCAATCAAAATGTTTAGTTGTTACTAAAAAGACGCTGCAGGTCATTTCCTAGTTGGTTTCCCTCTGTCGCCTCTTACGACACCCACGGGTCAATATGGGTTAGTGGTTATTCTTACCGCCACTGCACTATACATGAAATAGGAATTAGCGTATAATCAGTCTTGAGACGGATTGTAGTAATTGTTTTATTATTTAACTGTAATACCCAGTGGGATGGGCTGAGATCTGTTGGTATTAACACAAGCATTAGTCAACTGTTTCATAACAGTTATGTGTGTGACATCGCCCGCTGCATTGCGTTCGGATATTGCTCGGGTGATTAATTTAGCTTCAGCAACATATGCGTTTTATTTACACGTCCCCAAGGGAATGTTTCTATTGATATTGAATTTTTCAAATAAAATCTGACATTCTTAAACCACATGCCGTATATAGGATTTATTAAT